ATATTTTGTAGCATTTATCAGTACTTCATTCCTTTTTATTACTGAATAATATTTTATTGTATGGCTATACCACATCTAATTCATCTGTTCATCAGTTGACAGGTATATGGGCTGTTTTCACTTTTTTGGCCATTATGAACAATGCTCCTCTGAACGTTATTGAACATTTATGTACAAGTTTTCATATGGACATTTGTTTCTGCCTTTTTTGGGTATAGACTTAGGAGTGGAATTGCTGAGTCATTTGGTAACTCCACATTTAACATCTTGAGGAACTGCTAAACTGTTTTCCAAAGCATCTGCACCACTTTACATTCTTCCAACAATTTCAGTGTTCTAATGTTTCTACATCATCACTAACACTTGTCGTTTTGATTATGGCCATTTTAATGGGTGTAAAGTGATGTCTCATTGTGGTTTTGATTTGCATTTCCCCTATGACTAGGGATGTTGAACATCTTTTCATGTGCTTATTGGCCGTTTCTATATCTTCTTTGGAGAAATGTCTGTGTAGATCCTTTGCCTATTTTGGGTTATTAATATTTTCACTATTGGGTTATGAGTTTTTTAATAATATATTCTGTATACAAATCTCTTATGAGGTATTTTATTTGCAAATATTTTCTGCTAGTCTGTGGGTTGCATTTTTTCTTGCTTGATGGTATCTTTTGCAGTACAAAAGTTTAGGTTTTCACATAGTCCAATTTATCTAGTTTTCTTCTGTAGACTGTACTTTTGGTGTCACAATTAAGGAGGCTTTGTCTAACTCAGGGTCATAAAGATTTGCCCCTATATTTTCATCTAAGAGTTTTAGAGCATTAGCTTTTACAATTAAGACTATGATCCATTTTGAGTTAAATTTTGTGTATGGTGTGAGGTAGGGGTCCACCTTCATTCACTTGCATGCAGATATCCAGTTGTCTTAACACTATTTGTTGAAAAAGTTTTTATTCCCCCATTGAGTTGTATTGATATATACCCATTTTTTTTTTTCAACTAAAGCTGATCTGTAACATACTTTTTGACTCACATTTAGCCTGGATCCATCAGCTACCTGAGATAGAGAATGACAATAAGGATCAAAATGGGAATTCACCCGTTTCATTTGATTGTTCTTTGCCCCACAATCTAGGCTAAGTTTCAAAATAAAAATGATCTATCTTAAAGAGTTGGGGGAAAAGTAAGAGAGGGGCCTTATTCCAGTTTGAAAAACAGGTTCTGAACTGTACCTTTCTACTTTGGAAAATGCGATTGGGGTGTAGGAGAGACTAGTAAGGTGGCCCAGTTTCCATTCTGTCTGGAGATACTGTTTTTCAAAGTCTTCCCTTACATAAAATGCATTTATTAGAAAAAAATAACACTTAAGAGTTACAAAGCTTAGCTTCAGCACTGTATGTACACTGTGAACATTTAGGCATCAAATGAACAGCTGCCTTTTTTTTTCTTTGCCACCTTATTCCTACTGCCCTAGAACCCAAGATCATTTAGTCTGACCCAAAATGTCCTCTAAAGACTATGAGCTTTGAGTTTTAATAAGTAGTTAACAGATTTAGATCTGAATTTGATACTGCTTTGGTGCTTAAAAACTATATGACCTTGGTCAAGATGTCTAAACTTTTTGAGCTCAGTTTCAGGTAAAACATGGAGTAATAATAAACTACCTTGCAGTATTATTGTAAAGACTGAATTAATGAGCTGTCATATGAAAATATTTGTTCCAGACATTGCACATAATATCTCTGCATTGGGAGACTATGGGAGCATATATTTAGCCTGACAAATGAAGCAGATTGTATATTCCAGAGATAGCTTTAATATTACCTTCCATTCCACATGTTCTTTTAAAAATTTGCCTTTGATACTTGTTCTCTGCCCTTGAACCTGGAAAACCTTGTGGCTATGGCAGAAGTCACATTATAGTGATAGGCTAAGTCATCAAAGGTCATACAGATTCTGCGTGATTTATTTGGGACACCTACTCTTATAACCCAACTACCGGCCGGGCGCAGTGGCTCATGCCTGTAATCCCAGCATTTGGGAGGCTGAGGCAGGTGGATCACAAGGTCAGGAGATTGAGACCATCCTGGCTAACACGGTGAAACCCTGTCTCTACTAAAAAATACAAAAAATTAGCCGGGCATGTTGGCAGGCGCCTGTAGTCCCAGCTACTTGGGAGGCTAAGGCAGGAGAACAGTGTAAACCTGGGAGGCGGAGCTTGCAGTGAACCGAGATTGCGCCACTGCACTCCAGACTGAGAGAGAGAGCAAGACTCCATCTCAAAAAAAAGAAAAAAAAAGAAAAAAAGAAAAAAAAAAGGAACCCAGCTACCATTCTGTAAAGAAACTCACACAGCCACATGGAAGGGCCATATATGGGTATTCCAGCTTACAGCTTCAGGTTATAGCTGACAGCATGGGTCAACCACCAGTTATGGCTCATAGATGATTCCAATTAAGTTACCCCATCTTTGAATCTTTCTGAATGAGGCTCCAGATGTCAAGAAACAGAGACAAGCCATCCTGCTGGGCCTTTTCTAAATTTCTCATGCTCAGAATCAGTGAACATGGTAAAATGCTAGTTGTCTTACTCTGCTAAGGGTGAGGTGATTTGTTTTGGTACAATCAAAACCAGGATTTTCTCCACCTGCCTTGATTGTTGTTGTCCAAGTACCTCAGTCCCTCCATAGGCATAGGATTTGGGCACTAAAGCTGCAGCCCAAACCCTTAAGGTTACCATCCATTGAGTGTTTACTGTGTGCAGTGGCAGCTGACACACGTTTTGCTTGCAATTAGTCCTCACAGCACAGGAAGCTATCTTCCTCCTCCTTTCTTTTCTCACTTCCCCACTTGTTTTGCTGAGTTGAGAGGAACTTGGTGATAGTCTTTTACTACCAACTCCGTTCTTGAAGGAGTGTGGTAGGGGGACCTGGAGCTGCATAGTGGACCTCAGCCCTGCAATGCCTTAGTCTCCCCTAAGCTGCTCCTCATTCCCCACATCCTCACTGCCATGGCATTGCTACCATGCTGAGGGGGTAGAGACGGCATTCTGGGGTCACACCTGGCTCAATAGTAGAGACAGCTGCTCTGCTGTCAGGCTGAGGGAAGCCTGCCCCAGCACCATCCGCTCCATGCCATAGGCATATGAGAGCTGGGCTCAGTTAGTATCAGAGGGGATCCAGCCAAACCCTCTGCATGTTTCTGGTAAATTAGCTCTACCCTTAGCAGTGGACTCATGAGGCTCTCTGGAATGTGCTATTCCATCCTGCACTGATCCAGTTGGCACCTGCCATGGCACCTCTAGTTAGCAAGTTTTCTAATTTCCCTCTCCTGAGAAGGGTGCATGTGCTTGTATGATCAGTAGCCCCAGAAACTACCACTTGAGGCCTTTCTGCATGACAGGGGAGAGGTCAGGGTTGACAGAATTCAAAAGTACTTCACTTGGAGCACCTAATGCTCTGGAACAGAGGGTGAACAAGTTAAGCATAGAGACCTGCATCAAGAAGGAAGGACACAGTTCTGGCTGCAGCCTTTCATGAGGGAACACTGGCAAGGCACAGCTCCTGTGGGCCTCATCACCTGACTTTCCCTGCTTTCCTAATAAGAGCTGTGAAGAGGAGGGTTGAGGAATAAAATGTAATGCCAGTAATGGAGGTACCATTCAGATCTCACACATAGACATGGAAACATTACTTAAAATCTGTCATCTGTAACTTAACTGGAAATGGCATTTACTATTATCAAGGGGGAAAGTGGTTTTGACTAAGCTGGTCACCAGCTCAGAAACCTCTGGTGACTACATGTTGCCCAAAGTACTGATGCTGGAGTTTTATATGGTGTCGAGTGTACTTCAGCCATCTTCCCAGATTGCAGCCTGCTAGTAATCCTGTACTCAAGAGCTAGTAATGTGATTTTGGATAAGGCCTATTCTGGGTCTGCACTTTGTCTTTTGTAAAATGAAGAGTCTAACCTAGATGGTCTTGAGGTTTTCAGAGCTAAAAGTAATCTTAGATTCTATCCTCCTTCACCCCCTAGTGCCCAACACTCTGCTGGGTAACGAGCATGTGCTTGATGGGTACATTGATAGGCTCACCAGGTAAAGCAGACCAAGCCTTTCTGCTCCTTATCATCCCTAAACTTAAAATTTTTCCTTTTGGAAGCTCTTCATGGATTCAAGGAAGGTCTCTTGGCCATTCCTTTTTTTCATAGGGCATAAGTGATGCTCCTTTCTTCCTGAACCTTCTAACACAAGTCATCAAAGCCTAACTTGACATGCATGCCCTGAAGGTCCCTTCTCTTGCCTTCTAGGACAGGGCAAATCACAGTTAGTATTTGGTTTTCCTGCCATACAGTTCACTGGCTTCAGGGAATCTGTGGGGAAGAAGGGGACACTCCTATTGGTTTGTACATTTTTGAGATTCAGCCAAACAATAGTGAGCTAAGACTTCCTTAAGCTGAGATAAGGGCCTTTGCTCCATTTCCTGAACATTTCTCTAATGTTGCCCTTTCCACAAGAGCAGGAACTGGGTCTTATTTCTATTTGTATGTCCAGCATCTAGCACAGTAACTCTTAAGTGGATGCTCACAAATACTTATTTTGAGCAAAGCAAAAAGGAATTGTTTTTCATTCCTGCCTCTAACTGTTGAAAATATTGGCCACGCATGGTGACTCAGGCTTGTAAATCCAGCACTTTGGGAGGCTGAGGGAGGATGATTGCTTGAGACCAGGAGTATGAGACCAGCCCGGGCAACTTAGTGAGACCCTATCTCTACAACAACACAAAGTCAGCTTGGCATGGTAGCATGAGCCTGCAGTCCCAGCTACTTGGGAGGCTGAGGTGGGAGGATCACTTGAGCCCAGGAGTTCAAGGTTGCAGTGAGTTAAGATTGCACCACTGCCCTTTTGCACCAGTTGCTGCTGCGACAGGTCTATGTGTGCAGTGAGTAGCACTCTTCCTGGCCCAGTAGCACCGAAGCCCCGGGTTTGACTGAGTCTGTGCTGCGATGGACCCCAACACCATTATTGAGGCCCTGCAGGGCACCATGGACCCAGCCCTGCGAGAGACCTTGGAGCGCCAGCTCAATGAAACACACAAGTCTCTGAATTTTGTCTCACCGCTACTCCAGATTACTGTTGGAACAACTGGATTAACCTGTGAGACAGGCAGGTGTTACGTATTTGAAAAATATAACACAGTATTGGCTTGGTCGAGAAACAGCACAAGGGTATATATCCCCTTATACTATTCCAGAAGAAGATTGCCATTGTATTTGAGAAAATATTGTAGAAACCATTATCCATTCTCCTGAGCTCATCAGGGTACAGCTTACTACATGCATTCATCACATCATCAAACATGATTATCCAAGCTGCTGGACAGCCATTGTGGACAAAATTGGCTTTTATCTTCAGTACGATAACAGTGCTTGTTGGCTAGGAATTCTTCTTTGCCTTTATCAGCTTGGAAAAATTATGAGTATAAAAAACTAGAGGAGTGGAGTCCATTAGTAGCAGCAATGCAGTTTTCTGCCAGTTCTAAAGGATCATTTTATCCAGCTTCTTTCTGACCAGTCTGATCAGTCTGTCATCATCCAGAAACAAATATTCAAGATCTTCTATGCTCTTATTCAGCATATACTGCCACTGGAACTGACAAACCAACAGAACCTGACAGAATGGATAGAAATTTTGAAGACTGAAACACTTCGAATTGAAGAAGATGATCGACCTGAGTTACCATAGTGAAAATGCAAGAAGTGGGCCTTACATATTTTAGCAAGACTTTTTGAAAGATATGAAAGCCCTGGCAATGTTTCCTAGGAGTATAGTAAGTTGGCTGAAGTATTTCTGAAGGCATTTGTTGTTGGTGTCCAGCAAGTTTTATTAAAGGTGTTATAACAATACAAGGAAAAGCAATATATGGTTCCTCAAGTTTTACAACAGATATTAAATTCTATTAATCAAGGAGTTTCTCATGCTCTCACCTGGAAGAATCTGAAACCCCATATACAAGGCATTATCCAAGATGTTATTTTTCCACTGATGTGTTATACAGATGCTGATGAGGAACTTTGGGAAGAAGACCCTTACGAATATATACGCATGAAGTTTGATGTGTTTGAAGATTTCATTTCTTTTACCACTGCTGCCCAGAAGCTTTTGTTTACAGCCTGTAGTAAGAGGAAACAGGTACTTCAAAAGACTCTGGGATTTTGTTACCAGATTCTTACAGAACCAAATGCTGACCTTTGAAAAACAGATGGAGCCCTGCATATGATTGGGTCTTGAGCTGAAATAATTCTGAAGAAGAAGATCTATAAAGATCAGATGGAATACATGTTGCAGAATCATGTATTCTTTCTCTTCAGCAGTGAACTAGGCTATGAGAGCAAGGGCTTGCTGGGTGCTTCACTATTTTTGTGAAGTAAAGTTCAAAAGTGATCAGAACCTTCAGACAGCTTTAGAGCTAACAAGAAGATGTCTGATTGATGATAGAGACATGCCTGTGAAAGTGGAAGCTGCCATTGTCTTTCAAGTATTGATCAGCAATCAAGAAAAATTTAAAGAATATATCACACCATTCATCAGACGTGTAATGCAGGCTCTTCTTCATATTATAAGAGAAACAGAAAATGATGACCTTACCAATGTAATTCGGAAAATGATCTGTGAAAATAGCGAAGAAGTTACTCTTGTTGCAGTAGAAGTGACACAATAGTTGGCAATGACATTTAGCCAAGTAATCCAGATCGGGCCTGATAAAGAAGGTAGTGATGACAAAGCAGTTACTGCTATGGGAATTCTGAATATAGCTGACACACTTCTTAGTTGTAGTTGAAGATCATAAAGAGATAACCCAACAGCTTGAGGGAATCTGCTTACAGGTCATTGGTACTGTTTTACAACAGCATGTCTCAGAATCCTATGAGGAGATATTCTCTTTAGCGTGTAGCCTGACATGTCAACAAATGTCTCCACAAATGTGGCAGCTACCACCCCTTGTATTTGAAGTCTTTCAGCAAGATGGCCTTGATTACTTTACAGATATGGTGCCGCTCCTTTATAATTATGTAACAGTTCTTAGCAAGACACTTCTGTCTGATACCAAGTATCTTGAAATGATATACAGTATGTGCAAAAAGGTTCTTACAGGAGTTGCAGGAGAAGATGCAGAGTGTCATGCGGCAAAATTGTTAGAGGTCATCATTCTGCAGTGCAAAGGGCGTAACATTGACCAGTGCATTCCCTTATTCGTGCAAGCAGCCTTAGAAAGACTGACGAGAGGTTAAGACAAGTGAACTTTGAACTATATGTCTGCAAGTTGCAATTGCAGCTTTGCATTATAATGCATACCTATTACTCAATACCTTAGAAAATCTTCACTTCCCTAATAATGTTGAACCAGTTACAAATAATTTTATGAGACAGTGGCTTAATGATGTTGACTGTTTCTTGAGGCTTCATGACAGAAATATGTGTGGTCTTAGTCTCTGTGCTCTTATTGATATGGAACAGACACTCCAAGGTTTGAATCAGGTTTCTGGACAGATTTTGCCAGCTTTTATCCTTTTATTGAATGGATTGAAAAGAGCATATGCCTGCCATGCTCTTTTGTCCAAAAATGACAGTGATAATGATGAAGCTGAATATGATGATGAAACCGAGGAACTGGGGAGTGATGAAGATGATATTGATAAAGACGAGAAAGAACATTTGGAGATTCTGGCTAAGCAGGCAGGTGAAGATGGAGATGATGAAAATTGGGAAGAAGATGATGCTGAAGAAACTTCTCAGGAAGGCTATTCCACAGTCATTGATGACGAAGATAACCCTGTTGTTGAGTATCAGATATTTAAAGCTATCTTTCAGACTATTCAAAATCATAATCCTGTGTGGTATCAGTCTCTGACTCATGGTCTTAATGAAGAACAAAGAAAATAGTTACAGACATAGCAACTCTGGCTGATCAAAGAAGAGCAGCCCATGAATCCAAAATGATTGAGACGCACAGAGGATACAAATTCAGTGCTTCAGTTGTGCCAAATTCTTTCAATTTTGGAGGCCCAGCACCAGGGATGAATTGATTTATCTCTTTCTTTCCTGCTGTGTGATTGTAGTGAAGAGCTTGTGTTCCTCCTAGCAGTGGTTCCAGAACCGGTTCATGTTATCTATTCGAAACTAATGATCAATAGATGGACAGAAAAAAAAATCACAACAATAATCCTGGGAGATAGGACCTGACCATGCAACCTGGCACTGGAAAAGAAACTGGCAGGATTTTGGGGGTGGGGAGGATTGGAGGTGCCTTAGGGGGTGTATTTTCTTTATTTTTTGAAGAAAGTAAGATCCTGACTCTGAAGCTTCAAAGTGACAATGTGGAAATCTGACACAAGAGGGGATGTCATGAAGGCAACTTTTCTTTTTCTGAGGAAAAAATAGGCATGGGCTACTTAAAATGTCTCATTTACAGTATAAAACTCAAAGGTAGATGTAATTTTTAAACCTGTGAGAATTTGTTCAATTTCTGTCTCTTCCTCACCATTGGGTATCTATTCTTTATATGTAAATAAGATAAGATAATTTGATAGCCTTATTCAGTCATCATTTTTATTCATCATTGTTCCTATGTAGATTATTGGACATTTATTATAGCACTACATAACTGATTATAAAACTCTGTAAATGAGTTAGCACTTTCATATTGAAACAAGCCTGCTAGCCTACGTATAAAACAGCAAAAAGTTTGCTGTTTATAAAAAGATGTAATGGGGTTGGGGGCAAAGGTAATTTCAAGTTATTGATTTAAAAATGAACTAGCAATTTTGTACCCGGTGACTTTGTGGTCCACTCACTTCTGATAGGGACTTGAATTTGGTATGTAAAAATGGGTTGGTGGTATTTCATTGCTGCTAAAAATGACAACTCCCTCTGTGTCCTGTTTTTCTTAAAGCTGTCAGTGTAGAAGTAGGTATTTAAATACCAGACTTTACTGTAAAAAATAAGAAAGGTGGTATCTAGACCATGTCAATTGGATATGAAGTTCTACTGTTAAAGAGTTGATCTAAGAGTATGCCTAAACATCTATATGTGCAATCTATTAAAAGAACTTAATTCAGCTATTATGTCTTGATTTGATTGCAGTTTTAAAACAACATAACAATTTATAACAATTATAACAATTTTTTCCTCATTGGCCTGTTTTTAATCCTGTACCTAGAAAGAGTACAAAATGCACACTTCAAAAATTGATATTTAACACTTACCCACTCCCCGTTCCCCATCTCTTCTACCCTTCTTGTTGATTGTGGTATCTGATCTTAACTAGATAGGCTGAAGGCATGTGGTTCCCTCCAAAAACACTACTGATACCACTGCAAAAACAAGCCAGCAAAAGAGAGTGTAGAGAGGTTGGCTTGCTTCCCTTTCTTCCTAACTGCATGTTGAAAAATAAGCCTTTATTGATCTTAAACATCTGTCAGATGAGTCATCATTGGGTTATTTTTATATACATGTATATACAAAATATTTCAAATTGAAAGCAGCATCTTAATGGATTCAAAACTATTACAAGCTGTTGTCTAAAACAGATGAGAAAATTTATAACTGTAAAAACAAATGTACATATTGATGTTTAAAATGCATAATTAAGAAAAAAAAAAGATT